TCCTTCAAAGTATGGCCTATACCAGGCTATATTCATGGGACTGATCGAGTCTCAATGGGTTTTGAACTCACGCAGAAACAATACTGCCGCCCCCCCTCCCCCCTCCCCCAATACAGAGAGGCGTTCTTTTTTTTATATCCCAACATCCTTCCCACAAGTTTACGTTTCGAAACACGTGTCACCTCTTCTGCTCTCAAACCGTTTTCTTTCTGAACGTTCGTCGAAATAAAAAGACTTAAACTTAAACAAAAAGTGGGTTAGCCTGGGCTATTATTTTGCTCGGGTTGTCAGGCAGAACGCACAGTCATTTCGAACTTTGGCCGACTTTCCCTCCGCCAAACTTCCTGTAACACGCTATGGCTGACTGTCGAGTGGGATTACGTTCACTCTAAACAGGTTAGTTATAAACAAGTACGGTGTATTCCGCGAAACATTTTTGTAAGAAAGATTTGTTCGTAATAATTATGTATCAGTGTAAGCTTTGAGGGCCTGGATTTTTACTAGATTGGTCAGCTTGTGATAGTAAAAAAGAGAGGTCTGTACTGTTTGACATTGTTATGTCGAGTTGGAATCTAGAAATCTCGTTGGAACCCTGGCCTATTTATTTCTTGATCCCAACAAGGCCACCGCAAAGCTCATTACTACTGTAGGCTACTGTCACCGAACGTGACCATGGATTTAGAAGAAGCGCCTTGGAATCATGAAACCCTAAAAAATATTGGATTCTCTTAACCTTACAGTGGTTTTTTATTTTTTATTAAAGAACATAGGCCTACGCCTCTCCAGATCCTGATGAAATATTCACATGTTGCCAGGTAGAGCTAATGTTATTGTTTTCTGCTCTTTTCTAGACTAGATCTTGGCCTACTCTCCTGAGTTAATTTTCCTTTATAAAACAACACTGTAGACATGTATTCGAGTTTCCATACTGTCCATAGTCTTATTGGCCCTTTTTTATACACGGTTCTTGATAATCGAGGGAAGGGTCCAGCCCTCAATGGACTCCCCCTCCCCTTAAGTTAGATTCAAATTCGATTCCAGTAGCAAAAGAAATGAATGGAAAAAAAAAAAGAAAAAAAGTAAATAGCTAGATATCTAGATCTAGATATCTAGATCTAGATTGTAGATCCAGTTTCTAGATCTATTATTATTATATGGGATCTATAGTTTTAATTTATGATGTGTTTAAGTTTGTATCCTAAATTCTTCATGCAGAAAGTCATAGCACACATAATAGGTTTAGGCTATACATTGTTTTTAATTTTATTTAAGTTATACGAACCTAAATTATATTTTGCGATTTGGTTTGCAGTACTAGATCTAGTACATGTAATATATGTAGTTTGTTTAAATGATAGGCCTGATTAAAATTAATTAACTTATATTTTGATATGCTGGATGCCTTGATTTAAATTAAATTAGATCTAATCTAGATCTAGATTCTAGATCATGCTAGAATGTCATTGTGTCATTGTCACATTATTATTTTAGTAATTCATTTTCATGCTCGCTCTTGCTTGAGTCAAAAAGCTTACTCTATAATAATGATAGAGCTGTAAAGAGTTTTGTGAATATAATTTGCTGGTGTCATTCATCGTAGGCAGAGGTTAAAATACTAAGGTTTTCAGGAGACGCAAAAAACTTTTATTTCAGACGAAACATTATCTACACCAGAGCAGTAGATCTAATAATCTAATAATACAAATGAAATACAAAATGTTATTGATTCGTCTAAATTCCTTTCACTATAACTGGAATAAAAGACAATATTTTGTACTTGATCCTATTGATGTGCCTCATCAAACTCTACAATGTAGGCTACTTGATTTTCATTTCCTTGAAATTTTAACAAACTTCAATTTAACATTCTAAAGAGATGTAAAAGCCTTATTTGCGCCGCTCGCTGTCGAAGCTCTGTATATAATGTCATGGGCTCAGTATGTTTAATCATATAGCCTGTTTGATGTTCGTCTCAAGACCTGGAAGTCCTCGAGTTTGATTCTAGCCAATGACAGCTTTTTCTCCATGTTTTCTACGGCCCCAGGTCCTAGTGTAGGTAGGATTGATCGAGTGCCTAGTTTTTTTGGATGATACATGGAAGGAAAATTTTGGAGGTTTTGTGCAGAAGTTTTGCGAGAGTAAAAGATCCCCCTTGGTGTTTTAAAAGTTTAACTAAAAGAGGTAACAATAATCTCTTTTAATGAAGTCATCTGAGTACAATTTTATAATGTATTCATCACGGCAAACTGTAACCAACAGCATCATTTTGAGCATCCTTTGTTGATTATGGTGAAGGGCCCTGGTATGTTGTGAAATGGACATTATCTATTTCAGATTAACATTATTTTTTTTCCTTTCAGTTTTGGAAGTACAAACCAACCATGGCTTCTTCAGGATGTGGTTGTCCGTCTAAAAAGAAAATGTATGAAGATGATGAAGATGGAACTGAACAAGAGGATACTGGAGAAGATAGGTAAGAATTCTGTCTCAAGTTCCATTAAACACTTTTAGAGAATGGATAGAAAATTGGTTATTTTTAAAAACCGAGTGTGTGTCTAGATGCTTGAAATCAACAGTCATAATATAGGGCTTAACTTTTGAAATACCAGTAGCTCATGTTTGTGCTAAATTTATGTCTGAAGGATTTAGTTTTCAGGAATTTGTCTTCTTACTTTTACTGACAGTACACATGAAGTGTACAAGTCTTGAATGTCTGGAGCTAGAAATTGGGAATTGAATTTTTTTCTCATCAGCCAGGCCTTTCTCTGCTTTTCAAAAATTTAATTTAAGATACCATTCAGTGTGTAGGAAAAGTTTCACTTCAAAGGAAACTTTGTATTTGAGATGTTAATTAAGTTCTTTTTGATGTAAAGAGATGGAAGCTTACTTGTACTTTAAAAGTAAAATCAAAACTTAAGAGCTTTACGCCTTCTATTTTCAAAATAATGGCCATCTGCTTCTCTTATGGTTCAGGAATTTTTGTAGAATGAAGTAAGTAGGGTGAGTTGGTTGATGGTCTCGGAACTATTTTTTTGGTGTAAATATGATATTATATGTTCATATCGGAAGTGTTTCAGTTACACAAACATGTCGATCTGATGCCCTCGATTCCATTTGAATAGATATGAATTTTTTTCAAATGGGGGCTGACTTACAAAAAAGCCCTTAAATTAATACCACTGTAAAAATATTTGAGTTTGCTCAAACTCTTTTATCTCCAGATTCAGAACGCAGATGTACTTTTCAAGAAGACCTATGGTGTTATTTTGTGCAGATGATATTACCGGACGCTTTTGTATCAGTCATCTTTTCACTCAGAGCTCTCACTTCTTTTGAACAGATCTCTGTCCATTCACTGAGACAGAAGGCCTTTCTAGTGGGAAATCATAGAATCAACTTTGACTAGACTGAAATGCACAGCCACATACATGGCGTGTCTAATATTCTTCTAAAGTGACTACGGCACTAACTAAAACAAGAGAGAGTTTGGTCTCACAGGGCTATCTCAACTCTTTTCAATACTTTGTTATCTGTGACAAATTCAAAGTCAGTGAGAGTCCCTAGTGTATTGACATCACAAGTTCTGCAGTTGCACATTTTTCTTTGAAAATATTAAGTAACCTTCAAAGGTCACGGTTACCTTGATGCGTCCCTTGACATTATTTCATGCATCAATGCCTTTACTTTTTTAATATATCATGGACCGAAAGCCACACTCACATATGATTTTCATGGTTTCTGAAAGGCTTTAATAGAGGGGAAAGAATTTATTAGCTTTGTTTTGGATACAGCTAGGTATATATTTTTATTTTCTCAATTTTAAAACAAAACCCGGATTGTTGGGTGCTGCTTGTAAGAATTGCAGGCATTTTGGGGAAGTTTTTCCATTTTGATTTCTTAGAAACAAAAGCATTTCCTACCCAAATAGTGATACTTGAGTCTGTTTCTCTATGAAAATAATAAGCAGGGTATCATTGACTATAATATAATTATACTGTTAGTATGTGACCTCTTCAATTGATTTTATTTCTACTATTTCTTTATACAGGGCAGTAAAATTGCGTACAATTGCTAAGTACCGACGAGACACAGAAAAGTCAATCCTCAATGAGCTGATTGAACTGCTTCCTATGAATAAGGATGTATTGATGAAACAAGATAAAGCATCTCTGCTTCGATTAGCAATCACATACATGAAGTTTAGAGAAGTGTGCGATGCAGGTAAGAAACTTTTACTTTCCTTTTGTATATCAGGGTTTTTTTTTTTCTTTCTGACAACTTTGGGTTCACATGGGTAGATTATAATGTCATCATCTTTTGTACTTGTTTTATTAATTTTTTTCTGTTTACTGTCAGTATAGCAGTTCATCGTTGGTCAATCATGATGTTTTTGTCAGAGAATTTGTTGAAATAATTGTGTCGATCTTTATGATGAATGTCAAAGAACTTTGAATATAAGAAGTTAGATAAAGCAGCTTCAAAAGAAAATTGTTATGACATATTTCTCTCTTCTGTAATCACATCCACTGGTTATAGAAGTATAAGGCAGGTGAATATTTTTCTTTTCTGTTATCACAAGATGTGTGAAGATCTGCCTGTGACTACTGTTTTTTATTGTCACTTGTAAGCCATGGGAATGCCTGCTTTCATTTTCACCCTGTTTATCTTATTCCTACTATCTAGATGTATGGTTATATAACTCTTCTTAAGCCTTATCTTGTTGGTCTTGTTTATGTGACTGTTGACGTACAGTGTCTGGTCTTTAAGATTTTAAAAGTTGCTGTTGAATTGTGTAGTCTTGTTTTCCCTTCAAAGGCAGACTCTCCTTATTAATTCATATTATTTACCACATCCAGCTCCCAGAAGGCAAACCACATTAAGTGGGTGGTTGGTGGGTGCTCTGGTGTGGTTTGCTTCTTCTTTCCTGTCAAACCCATATCGTCCTTATCTCCCTTCCTTCTATTTTATGTTTGTTACTCTCTTGTGACACCTCTAATCTTCTGGCGCTCATATATGACCTCATGCAGTTGTGACTGCCGTAAAACCTCTACTGAAACTTAAAAACCATGTTGCCACACAAATGGTGCGTGCCACTCACATTAACTTGTCCTTTTAATGCTCAGACCAAAAAAGATAAGGGGTGAAGAAGATATTTTTGTGAAAAGTTTGTAGTATTCGGTTGTTTTAGAGATACCCATTGTTTCTTCCGATGAAATTTACTCAAACATTACGATAAATGAATATGTTCATTTCTTGTGTAAAGGAGAGAGAGAGAGAGAGAGAGAGAGAGAGAGAGAGAGAGAGAGAGAGAGAGAGA